CAATGCATCCCCAGGTATGAGTTAACCCATACAGACCCCATGAAAGCCGCGCCGAGAACCTGCGACGTACACTTTAAACCCTAAGCCCTAATCCCCAAAACCTAAACCTTGATCCCTAAACCCTAAGCCCAAGACCCTAAACCCTAAACCCTAAACCCTAATCCCTAATCCCTAAACCCTAAACCCAAAACCCTGGATTTGCCCGAGCCTTCGTCTCTGCTCCCAAACCCAAGTCAAGGCTGAAAACCTCCTGAGGCGATCGAGAGCTCTGCTGAGGCTTAGGGTTCTGCACCTTTCACGGTCCACTACTTAGGGTTTAGGGTTTAAGGCTTTGCGTTTTGGATATTTTGGCTTTAGGATCTTCGTGCCGCCTGCTATCAGGATTGCTGCTATTGATACTGGCATCTGTACTCTCGAGTAACAGCTGTTCCGATGTGTTACTCTCTCTTGACCGCTGAACCGTAATCACAAGAAGAGCCAAGCCACAAAACGTAAAACCCTGAACCTACGAATGACAAACCCTTCAATGCGGGTTCATGAAGTCGTAAACACTGCAAGCCCAAAACAAGCTAAAGCCCCGATCAGATAAAGCAAACACCATCAGAGCTCAGCCCCAGGAACACTGCTTGCCTTTAGGGGTTAGGGTTTAGGGTTCAGGGTTTTGGGCTTAGGGTGTAGGGTTTTAGGGGAAGGTACCCTCTCGAAATCGACGAAGAGATTGCGGCTTTTCTTTCCAAATGCTAGGACATGGTAGTCTTGTCTCTGTCAACACACCCACATGCCGCAGCGCGCGCAAATGTATTGAACATATGTGGACTCGGCGACATCATTGGCAGGCTCGTCACATAAGATGACAGTAGTCTGGCCGTCCGCGCATTCTGCGTCTGTTGCTAGCATCTGTGTTTTGCAGTGAATATTCAGCTCTTGTCACTGCGAGCTTGAACGCCCAACAATCGGAATGCAAAGTTCGGCCTCCGGGCCCTCGACAGCTCCAAACCAAACCATCCCCCTAAACCCCCAAGGCCTTCTCAAACCCTAGACCCTATACCCTAAACCCTAAGCCCTAAACCCTAAACCCTGAACCCTAAACCCTAAAACCCCAAAAACCTTCTCAAACTTCAACAAGAAAGCCAGACTTAGCCCTAAACTGCGGCGGGGCTTCGAGGGTTTGGGCTTTAAAAGGCTTAGGGTTTTAGGCCGCCAAGGCCTTTTAAAGCATTACAGTCACAAGGCTTTGGTTAGGGTTTTTCAAGGTTTTGGGATTCATGAAGGGGCCTTAATAATTCGAATAGGGTTTTGGGGCCCATAGTACTATACTTATAACAAAGAACCCCCAAAATAGTACGGGTAACTATGAAGGCCCCTATACGAGTAGAGTCCCAGGAAGTCGGTGCAATCTCCAAACCCTAAACCCTAAGCCCTAAACCCTAAACCCTAAACCCTGAACCCTAAACCCTAAACCCTAAACCCTAAACCCTAATCTCCTCGCCCTTTGCGTAGAAGATCTGGCCGAAGCCCAAGGCAGGTCGGGGACGCGTTCGAAGTCCGGCACCTTAGGGTTTAGGGTTTAGGGTTTAGGGTTTAGGGTTTAGGGTTTAGGGTTTAGGGTTTAGGGGTTTAGGGGTTTAGGGCTTAGGGTTTAGGGGTTTAGGGTTTCGGGTCCGCGGTCATTTATGGAATCCTCACTCCTGAAGACATACTAGCAGTAGTTGCAATATTCAGTACTTAGTAACTTTCTTGAAAAGGAAGTGAGTCCTAGTAACTAGTAATGGTACCTGCAGCCCAAACCGGGACCCAACCCCGGAAATCAAAAACAGAGATCTGTTGTCGTGTTCAGGCTTTCCTGTACATCCTAAACTCTAGACTCTAAACACACCAGAACCCAGCGCAACCCCATGAAAAACCAAGAAGACACAGGCAAAGAAGCGTTGTGGGGCATCAAGCAGGGAATGTTATCACTGGCTCATATTCTGAATTATGGTATACCTGTATAAGGACTAGACGAGTATGGTAGCACCAATATAATTTCCCGATCCAGTTTCAACACTTTCAGATGCATATTCCCCAATAAGCCAGGGAAATGCCAGGTTGAACCTTTCAGATTCCTATTAAAATAAGAGAACCCAAAGAGTTTAAAGGTTGGGTACTGGAGAACTAAGCAGATGAGCCCTAAACCCTAAACCCTAAACCCGAAACCCTAAACCCTAAACCCGAAACCCGAAACCGGCCTGGACCACTGACTTCCTCTAACCAGCGCGGCGGCCCTTGGGTCGCCGGGTCCATCGGCTGGAGCCGGATTTTGGTATCCTCGACGCTGCTTTCAGTGCTAGGTCTCGGGCTTGTTGGGCGTCGTTTAAGTCTTAGGAAACCCTAAACCCAAAGTCCTAAGTCCTAAACCCCTAATCCCTGAACCCTGAACCTTAAACCTCTGAAGGATTTGCTTCTTGAGGCTGGGGCTTTAGGGGCCCCTTGAAGAGTGAAGCTTCGAAGGTTCGAGCTGTGGAGGTTGGGTGCCGGGCTTAGGGTTGCAGACGCTTGTGGCTCGCGGTCTCAAACTTGGGGGGTTTGGGGTTTAGGTTCAAATCTGTTGCGCCCTAGACCCTAAACCCAGAACGGCGAAGCCCTCAACGGAGAAGAGCGGCCGCATCGTCTGCCACAGAAGTCCATGCTACCTGGGACATGCTAAACCCCAAACGCTAAACCCTTAAACCCCAAACCCTAAACCCTAAAGTGCTGAGCTGGAGCCAGGGGTCATCTATGGCTTGCTGCAGAGAACGGAACGGAAATCTCGGAGTTGCGGATTTGAAGGAGGTTTAGGGTTTAGGGCCAAAAACCCTCAACGATTTGGGGTTTGGAGTTCAGGATCCAACCCTCAACGGCAAACCCTAAACATCGAGGGTCAGAAGGGGGGGCCTGAATGATTCAAAAGGAACCCGAAGGGAGAATATATAAGTAACCCCTACATCCTAAACCCTTCAAAACTCTTAACCCTAGGCTCGTCATATAGAGGCCTTGATAGTTATAGTAGGGTTTTGGTTCGCCTCGGNNCCGAGGCGAACCAAAACCCTACTATATCTCCCGCCTACCTGGCCCCCCCCCCTCTCCCCGCCCCGGCCCCCACTCAGGCCCCACCCGTTCGCCCCGCTTTCCCTCCTTTTGCCGCAATTCTTGCTTTTTGCTGTCTAGTGTTTACAGTTCAGGGTTCAAGGCTCCAAACTCAGGTCAAGTAGAAAAAGTTTCGTATCCTGCAAATGCCTCTGGTTGTTTGTAGGCAATCTCCTCCCCTTCCCCGGTCCTCGTCCGCTCCGCCAACGGCGCCTTCAAGGCACCAGCAGTTCGTTGGCCCTCTTTGTTTGCGGCCGGGCCGAGGCGGACGACACGAAGCGTTTAAAATTATGCTGAATTATACTGTAATTATAAAAAGGGACACCCAAAAATAGTATTGGTAATGATTTAGGCCCCTGCATTAGCCACAGCTCAGGTGCGGCCTTGAGATTCTGAGGATCTGGCTTCGAGGCCCAAAAAGTCTGTTTGCAGCTTAGGGTTTAGGGTTCAGGGGTTTAGGGTTTATAGGGTTTAGGGCTTATGGGGTTTAGCGTTCAGGGTTTCGGGTTTAGGGTTTATAGGGTTTCGGGTTTAGGGTTTAGGGCTCAGGCTCTACCTGCACCCTAAAGAACCTACCTTTTTAGGGCTCCTTACTATGATTTCTTTACACAGGTTTTCAAAAAGGGTAGGCTGTTTGGGGGTAAGGTAGGGGTGACCAGGTAGAGGAGTTGAGAGTTTAGGATTTAGGGGTTAGGACTTGTGAGTATACGTCTGGCTTATAGAAGGCTTGGCAGCACACTGTTGCAAAGTTCTGCAACTCTGGACTAAAGGCAGACCGTGCTTACGTGACTTATATTACCTTACTACTTGGTTTCCCATGAGTGCCATGCGAACGCAAGCGGACTGCTGGACCCATGGTTCCGAAGAAAACATGGGTCAAACATCTGAAATTCAGAAGTTAGGCCCAACGGTGGCTGCAAGCTTTCAGGGTTTATGGTTGCTGGCGAACAACAATATCTAAACCCTAAACCCTGACTCTTGCAACGAGCCCGGCTGCTAGCGCAACACCGCTGTTGCAGCCAAGTAGTTCAGGTATCCTGACAGGTTTTAGGGTTTAGGGTTTAGGGTTGGCCGGACCCCTGAACCCTAATAATGAACCTTCATTTTATAGCGCAGCCCTTACTGACCCTGGCCCCTCATGCCCTAAAACAAAAAACCAAGCCCCTGGCCCCACAAGTAGTCTTGATCCCTTCAAAGTGTCGGCCGCTGAACCGCCCTCTTCCTGCTGGATTGCTACTAGGATGCAGATGTTCACTGCTGTTCTTGTGTAGGTTTATTGAGGTTTAGGCCCTCTTCTCGTTGTCCTTGGTGGAGTTGTGTTTGTTGTTGCACGCACTGCTGGCACTGATGGTTGTTGTTTCCGATGGCGCTTGTCTTGGCGATGAGGACGAAGCTGTCAAGCAGGACATTTACGTGCGTGCTCACTACTGTTCCTTCTGTGCCACGTGCAGCGTCAAGGATTGAAAAACTACTTCCACCCCAAACCTTAAACCAAAAAGTCCACGCCCCTCCCAACCCGCCTAAACCACGGCCCAGGTGCACCAAAACTCTAAGTCCCTACTACGACCCACGCAGCATGTGGGATTTTGCGTTCTGCTGCAACGGGGTCTTGGGATGATGGGGACGGCACGAAGCGGCGGTTGGGAAAAGAGAAACAGAACTCAAGCTGGCTTCCCCGGGCGCTCTTGCGGATTCTTATGGTTTTAGACTGAGGGTTAAGAGACTGCGGTTTAAGGTTCCACCGCAAGGTATCGGGTTTTAGCGCCCGAAGTCTCCAATTCAATCGTCTCGCCCACCCAGGCTCTGATGTTTCTAAACTTTGCAAGACTCTTTCCCAACCCCCCAGACAAAAAGTCAAACCCCCACCAACATCCGACAACCCAAGCCCCAAGGCCCTAAACATCGGCGCAAAGACCAAGGTCGCACCTCTCCGCCTCGTCCGCGTCTGCGAAGTCAATCATCTGGCCAGGTCAGACAAGGGTCAACTTGAGTTTCAGTTAGGGCCAGGATTTGGGGCATGGGGTTCAGCATGTACGGCTCACCCTGAGGCCTCAGGTGCTTCGAAAAGAAGGATTTGAACGCTCACAGATCTTGGTGTCCAGCACCGTCTTGCCTGCCTGATTAGCATTTCTTCACCAGAGAGTCATTAGCATCTGTCGGGTGAGGATCCGCTGAGTTATTGAAACACTAGCCGTCGAACCCTAGCCGGGCATTTTCGCCTGTATCGTATTTGGTTTGGCTTCCTGACTCATTAACCATGTATCGGTCTGTCTATCCGTCTATCGATCGTTCCATCGACCGAGGTATATGCATATATGCAGGTGTTTATCTAGGCCCATCCAGCCATCCATCCATCCATCCATCTGTCCATCTATCGGTCCATCCAGCCATCCGTCCGGCCTTGATCGGTGCCAGCGAGTCTGCCACAGCACTGACCTTGCTTGTAGTGCATGCTGCTGAACTCAGGAACCCGATAAAGACCTTAATCCTAAAGCGTACGGACATACACTACACAGCCTGCGAGTAGACCAGGCACAGAAGGAGCACCAACGTTAACTACGCATGCTTAACTTCGTCTCTCACACTGATGCCCATACCCGGAAGCCTTAAATTGCTTGAGGGATGAGAGACCTGCTAGGAAGTAGGTGGTTATGGCTTCTTGAATGCCCCGGTTGGGTGCATCCTGCTAGCAACACGAAGTACAATCGCCATACTGAGCCCCTCCCCCCCTGAACCCCTAAACCCTAAAGCCTAAACCCCTAAACCCCTAAACCCCTAAAACCCTAAACCCCTAAACCCCTAAACCCCTGAACCCCTAAACCGTAAACCCTAAACCCCTAAACCCCTGAACTAACCCCTAAACCCTGATGATTTAAGAGCAATGCCAAGCCACAAGGTGAAGTTGAAAGGCACTGGCAATGATCAGATGGCCGTGATGAACAAGCAGGCTCGACGCCTGCGGTTTAGGATTTAGGGCTTAGGGTTTAGGGGCGAGCAGAGAAGCATTTCAGACTGTAGGGCTGAGACACACTAACACCCAAACCCAAATCACATACCGATGTAGCCGGGTTCTTTATATGAATCCTATTATTTTGGAGGTATCGGGCCAGGGCATCTTCATTCACTTTCTGCATCAGCGGCTCAACCCCAAGTGTTGGCACTTGGCCGCTGCATCCGGCGCGCTAGTCGACCTCATGTTCTGGATATCCTTGAGAATTATACAGGGGGCTTCCGAAAACAGGGGACCCTAATATGGTACCCTAAATAGTAGGATCCTTATTATAAGGACCCCAAAATAAGGTACCCCTAATTTTCGGAAACTCCCATATAGGGGGTATATACCCCAAACCCCCCCGCCCCCCCCACCCTCAACGAGGGACTCGGTCAGCCCTTTCCGCCTAGCGTGGTATATATCTTTCACACTGAACCACGAGCCCTGAACTGTACAACCTTAAGCAGCAAGAAAAACTGACTCCAGTTTTTTTTGAGCATAGGATTGAGGGTCTAATGTAGGGGCCTCAGTAATTAGAATAAGGTTTGTGGGGATATTGTACTATAGTTATAATAAGGAACCAAGGTGCCTATATTAGGGGGTTGGGTCTCTCCTGCTGCCAGGCCGGCTCACGGCCGAGATAGAGAGTCCGTTGAGACAATGTCTGCAAGGTCAGTGACGAGAAGACAGACACCTGCTCGGCTGTCGGGCTGCCATGTGACCCTTACATGGGGGTTTCCGAAAATAGGGGACCCTAAGATAGTACCCTTAATATTAGGATCCTTATTATAGGGACCCCAAAATAAGGGCCCCCTTATTTTCGGAAACTCCCACATGGGCACCATGATGATAGCAGATGAAAGGGATAAGACGACAATGCAGTGGCAATGGCCGTGGCAGCAGTAGCAGCAGCAGCCACAGCAGCAGCCACAGCAGCAGCAGCCGTCTTAACAGTAGAAGTCGACGTCGCAGTTGCAGTGCTACCACCACACCGGGTTCGTTCAGCAGTAGCAGAGACATACCACGATGACATCATGAGTGAGAATAGGCTGTTGTGTCACATCCCTGACCAGAGCCTGTGACCAGAGAGGCGTGCCGCTTGCATAGGACACGGTGTACAGACGGCCATTCCTCACATCTACCGCAGTCGCAACCATGTGTTCAAAAACCAGTCTACTATAGGGACCTTAATAATTAGAATAGGTTTTTGCGGGATATGACACTATAAGTATAACAAAGATCCAACGCCGGAACTCTCAACTCAACCACCCAGTTCCCAAAGGATCCTAAGCACAGGGCCTGGTTTTGGGGTACATTATAGTAACAAATATTATAGTATATTTATAATAAGGAACCCCCCAAAATAGTATGAGTAATTTTTTAAGGCCCTTATAGTACTTGCTTGCATGTCCCAGTGTAGGAACTCTGTCTTCTAGTACAAAGGTACACAGAACCTATCATTGTTTATCCTAGAACCCTAACCCCTAATTAAACCTTTAAACCCTAAACCCTA